CCATATTAGAGTAGTAATGAGAGAAGTATCAGACAAATCCAAGTTGAGGGACAGTCTATGAAACACTGGACCAGTACTCATCAAAGAGTTGAGGTTATGAAAAAGAAAGATGAAATTGTCATGGAATCAAAGAGAACAGGGAAATACAACAAGAAAACCCAATGAGGTGTCTTGAATTGGATCACAGAACACAAAGATATAGTAATGTAAAAACTGACAAAATACATATAAGGTCCAGAGTTTAATTAATAGACCAGTGTTGGTCTTTTAGTTTTGACAAATGTACCAAATTAATGTAATATAATAGTATTAAGGAAAACATAAGCTAGGTGAAGGGTAAAGAGCAACTCTGTGTTGTATCTTTGTAATTCTTTTGCAAATCAAAGCTTATTCCTAAATTAGAAGCTTATTTTTTTTAGATTTATTTTATTTATTTGAAAGAGTTACAGAGAGCAAAAGAGGGAGATATAAAAATAAAGATCTTCCATCCACTGGTTAACTCCTCAAATGGCCACAGTGGCTGGAGCCAGGCCAGGCTGATGCCAGAAGCTAAGAGTTTATCCAGGTCTCCCATATGAGTACAGGGGTCTAAATTTTTGGGTCATCTTTTGCTGCTTTCCCAGGCACATTAGCAGGGGACTGGATTGGAAATAAAGGAAATGGGACTCAAGCCAGTCCCCTTATAGGATACCAGCATTGCAGATGACTGCTAAACCCATTATGTGACAATGCGGTTCCTAAGAACCTTATTTAAAAAGAAGAAAAAAAAAGTATGTGCTGGTTTCCTAACATCATATAAAGAAGATTATTCAGGCTTCTAACACCATTTTTAAAATCATCCTTATGATCTCATGAGTTTAACACTGAAATGTCACAAAATATTCATTATTTCTTTTTGAGGTCTAAATTTTTCCATCTTCAGTCAACTGGAATATTCTTCAGTTAGTTCTCAAAATTTTTGTCTTCAACTAGGTGATTATTATAGCTTCCTTTCTTTCTGTTACAAGGTGTCCAGGTCCATCTTTTACAGTTCTTTCCCTAGAGTTAGAATGAATTCTTTCTCAAAGAAGTTCTGCTATCTCTGAATGGGAAAAGATATTAGACATCACAAATTGTGTGCCTGACTGGTAATTCTTAATAGTTTGGTCATTATTTTTAAGCCCTTTTTACTGTGTAAAAGTTGAAAATGAATACTTTATTTTTAAAAACCAGCAATTCATACTGAAATTTCCAATATTTTCCACTCATGCTAGCATAATAATTCATTTTCTTTGTGGAACAACATACACACAACATTCTCAGAATAGCTATCTCAATACTAACATCCACAATATGACTAGTGAAGTCACTGTAAGAATTTTTTTCAGTGACTTTGTCTGTAGGAGATATTCTACTGAAGAAGGTAAGTGAAAATGACACATTTTAAAATAAATTGAAATACATAACCTGAGTAGCTGTGGAAGGTTTACTGTCATTTTATTCCATTCTCTCTGTCCTTAAAGGAAACAGTCCTCCTTATAGATAAATGCAAGTGTACTACACACTCACCTCCATGTTGCTTTTTATGGTGTAACAATATATCCTTGAGATCACTCATTTTTCTGTTTATAACTGTACTTTCAGCAATGATTATGCATTTTTTCACCAAAATAAACACCTTTTGATTCCACTTCCCACAAACTTTTTGAAGTACCTTTGTATGGCAAACCATTGTACCATAACTTAGTAAGATAACTTCCTATCAACAGCCATGTCAGTTGCTTTGTATTTTACTATCACAAATAGTGCTGTGATAAATATCTTTGTGTATGAAAATCCGTAATTTGGCTCCTGAATATTTTGAATCTAAATCTAATAACATAATCTCAAGGTCAAATGGTAAATGCTACTGTTACTTGTTCTGTCCGCACATTCGTATCTTGTTTAGATTATTTCTACAGCTTTCAAATTTACCTAGTTACATCAAGAGTCACCGTATACAAGAAGGTTTCAAAAACTTCACTGGGCTTCCTAATCAATAAAGTGATACCTAAAGTTTTCTATAGATCAAGTGGTTATTGTTGGCCCTTAGTATAACACCTGCCACAGTAATCATTAACAAACATTCAAAATCTTGCAAAAATAACAGGGATTTTATTTTGTTCATCTTTATAAGCACATGGACAGTAAGCACATGGTAGGTGCTCGACATGATACTGACATACATCATATAGAGAAGGATAAGATACACACAGAAAGTAAAATGGAGATTTTAATTAAGGAAAAATAGAAATTAAAAAAAGATCACTATTTTAGGAAAATGTAGTTATGTCACCTGTGGTTATATTAGGGCAGATATCATCATGGCAGCTAGTTGGAAAATGAGTGACCCTGCATATAGGTCAGTGGTGCTACTACATCATATGAAAGCACAAATCTCTTAATTTGAAGAAGAATGAAAGTTAATAATTATCTCTGTACACCAGAGAGAGCTTCACTAGTTATCCCAGTAGGTAATGGGCTTAATAGTTTTGCATATTGTGAAATTTTACATGGCCTATTTTCTTATTCTAAGACAAAACCAAATGCTATTATTTACAGCCTTTGTTTTTACAGACAGAAAAGACAAAAAGAAAAACATTCTAAATCCCACTCAGCTTACCAGACTAAAACCTCATAAACTGAAAATGACAAATATATTATTTGTGTAATCCAATTACTCATAATTATGTTTTGTCATCACAGCCTATAATGAGATGTAACAGAAAAGTGGGTAAATAAAAAAGTCATTTTAAAAAGCAAAATTCATAACCTAGGAAATAGAAAAGCATTCTGAAATGTTTTTTAAAGATTTATTTATTTTTTATTTTAAAGGTGGAGTCACGAAGAGGATGAGAGAGAAAGAGAAAGCGAGAGAGAGAGGAGAGTGAGTGAGAGAGAGCTAAATTCTGTCTACCGGTTCACTTCCCAAATGGCTGCAATAGCCGGGGTTGGGCCATGCTGAAGCCAGGAGCCAGGAACTCCATTTGGGTCACCCATGTGGGTGGCAGGGACTCATGTACTTGAGCCAGCATCTGCTGCCTCCCGGGTGTATCAGCAGAGAGCTGGATTGCAAGCGTAATAGCAGGGACTCAAACACTGCTCTGCTATGGAATGCAGGTTTGTACCCCTTAATAAGAATTTTTAAATGTCATCTATGAACTACAAATACAGGAAATTGGTGAACCTAGTAAAAGACTTGTAAACAACTCAATGAACATGGGAGTGCAAACATCTCTAGAAAATACTGATTTCCAATTTATTTTGCATGTAAAACACCCAGAAGTGGGATTGGTGGTTCACATGGTAATTCTATTTTTAGCTTTGTGGGGAAGACATACAGTTTTCCATGAAGATTATACCAATTCACATTCCCAATAACAGTGTATGAGGGGTCTTCTTTTCCCACAACCTTTTCAATTCAAAATCACTGGGAGAGTAAATGTGAAATGTTCTCACCTCACAAAACGATAAGTATTTTAGGTGATGGATATGTTAATTAACCAGATTTAATTATTCCACATTGTGTTCATAAATCATAACATCACTTTGTACTCTATTAATTTATGCAACTGTAATTTGTCAATCTACAATTTGAAAAAATTTACAGGAGACTTGAAGAAGTAAAGGTAATATGTAATTCAAAGGTCTTTACCAGTGGGACACTTAAAACAATCTCACACTGGGGCCATAGCAGGTAAAGCTGCCGCCTGCAGTGCTGGCATCCCATATGTGCACCAGTTTGAGTCCCGGCTGCTCCACATCTGATCCAGCTCTCTGCTATAGCCTGGGAAAGCTGCAGAAGATGGCCCAAGTCCTTGGGACCCTGTACTCGGGTGGGAGACCCAGAAAAAGCTCCTGGCTCCTGGCTTTGGATCAGCCCAGCCTCAGCCATTGTGGCCATTTGGGGAGTGAACTAGTGGGTGGAAGACTCTCTCTCTCTCTCTCTGTGTGTGTGTGTGTGTGTGTGTGTGTAACTTTGCCTTTCAAATAAAGAAAGAAATCTTTTTAAAAAAATCTCTTTAACCATTCCATTGTCTTTTCCCAAACATCGTTATATCAGGCAAATATAAGTACTTGCTATATTCTTTTTGAAAATCTAGTGGGAGACACAATCTTAGGCTCCTTAACCTTGAAGGAGAATCTCAACCTTTCTTTCTCTCCCTCTCCCTCCCCTGATTTTATTCTAATTTGTTGGAATTAGGGGACTTCATTCACTGCCTTGATTAGGAGACTTCAAATCATACAGGGGAAATTAGAACCCTGTCATTTCCCACTAATACAGTCTCTGCCTGTGGGTAGCAAAGGCCCCACCCATGACAGCCAGGTGAAATGCCAGTGCCTCTGGGGACAAAGTGACACCACAGCTTTTAAAACTTTGTAGGATCAATTATTTTCATTATACGGTCAGAACAATCATTGGTACCCTATCATCCACCAAGTGCTTAAGTCTTCCTGGAGGTGGGTTCAGCGGACTTCTTGGGTTGAGTGAGCATTCTAGAGCCCCAGCAAAGAAGATACGTGCGTGAAAGACCCTCCGACTCACGCACGGCTCCTTCTTCTTATATCAGCTGGGTAGCATGTCCCTCCTGCTGTTCAAGTGGGCCATGGTGAGGAAAAGGGTCGCCAGGGATCGGGCTACAGGAAAGAAAGGAGTCCAGTCCTTAACCACTTTCCCTACTTTCTCTTCACACAGTTCTTTAATCTAGTTTGGCCTTAGGCTTTTCAAAGCACATCTCAGAGGATCAGCTCCGATTTCATTTCTCAGTCTCTTCACCATCCTCTTTATTCCCCCTGAACTTTGCTGTTTAAACTAACCTGCTCCTTCCTAGGATGTTTCAACTTCTCTGGATGTTTTTTCCTGCCTGATCTCCTCCGAGTCTCCCCTCTTCTTGGCCCCAGCTTCTTAGAGCCGCCAAGGCCGCCCTTTTCGCCCCTTCCCCCTGCTTGCCCTGGCTGAGATCCTTCACCTCGTCCATTCTCCTGTCAGGCTCTCCAGATTCCCGGGCTGTGTGCTGGTGAGAAATCTTTGCTGCAGCGAGGACAGGAGTCCCCCGCGCGCAGCCCAGTGGCAGAAGAGGGCTAGGCTGAGAGGGAAGGAGAGGACTGGAGAGGAGGGAGGCAGCCCGTCCTCCCCGCGAGCCTGCAAGGATGCGGCAGCGGACCGGGGGCATGGGGAGGCACTAACCCCCCGAGCCCCTGATCCGGGCTTGCCGATCCGGTGCGCGGGCCAATTTCCTGCCAAGTGCAGCCAAGCAGCAGAGGCGCCTGGAAAGCCACGAGAGGGGCGCAGGGGGTGCCCATCCCCAGAGTCGGTTCCTCTGCGAATCGGGGAAGAAGAGAGGAGGGAGTCCGTGAGTGGTGAGGAGAAGGAAAAACCTGTCTCCAGTCTGGCTGGGGAGCGTCGGAGAGACCAGGGCGCTCGGGTGAGCGCGCGAGGGGCGAAGGCGGCCGGGAGGTGGGCTAGGGGCGTGCGACGGGAGTGCGCGCTTGGGGAGGGGAGGAGAGGCGAGGCGAGCAGGGCACCGCCGCTCCCGGCTGGCGCAGTCTGGGGGGCGCCGGCGGGTGCGAGCCGGGGAGCGCGTGCGGCTGCCGCGGCGCCGGTGTTTGTGTGTATGTGAGCAAGCGAGGGGCGAGCGCGAGTGCGAGGGAGGCAAAGAGAGAGCGCATGTCTCATCCCTGCGAGCAGCCACTAGACGCCCCACCACCATCTTTTGCATGTGCAACATTGACAGCCGGACAGAAAACCGCTCCCAGGGCTATGGAGGCTGCGGGAAAAATCTGGCAGCTCGCGATGGATTGCTAACGGGAAAGAGGCATACTAGCCAAACATCCCAACCTCTCCCCCCCACCCCCATTTTTCCCTTTGATTGTTTTTAATTTTAGCGCCATCGTCTTCAATGCCTCTCTGAACAGCCTTGAGGAAGAGTGTGAGCGAAAGAGAGAGGAGAGAGCGCGCGCCAGGGAGAGGAAAAAAGAAGATGAGGATTATTTGCAGACAGATTGTCTTGTTATTTTCCGGATTTTGGGGACTCGCCATGGGAGCCTTTCCGAGCAGCGTGCAAATAGGTAAGCTCTGCTCCGGCGGGGTGTGCATGTGGCTGGCTGTAGCAGATATCCGAAAGTGAGTTAATGAGTTGATGGTGAGCAATTCAGGGAGAGCTTCAGCTGTCTGCTGCCCCTTTGCTTCCTTCCTCTCCTCTTCTCCCCTTTACAAAAGATGTCCCTTAGGTGCAGGTGCCTTGGGAATGTGCACAGAACAGCCCGTCCTTCGCAGCCCCTTCCCCCCTTTCCACCTTCCGTTCAAGTCGCTTAAGTCGTATTGGAGTAAGTTGGGGGCGGGGAAGAACGTGGGGCTTGCTTGTATTTTATACGTTTATTTTTTTTATGAACATAAAGGGCTGTCAAGTTTATTCTTTTTAAAAGCCCACTCTTCCCATGCTGGACGCCGCAGCTCTCTCTGGCTTTTACAGAAAGACACTATTTGGACTAAAAAGCGTTTCCACCAGCACCACCTGCTTTTTCTTGCCATGGGTTAGCAGGTTTCAAAGTTAGATTCCTTTCCAGGAACCTTCTATCTTTTTAATGTGTTTTCCTCTGGAAGCTTTTGGCTTCCTACCTCCACCTAGACTCTGTTTCCAGGGACCCCCCTCTAGCCTTGGCTTCTCTTGCTATTCTCTCCTGTATTATAATGGGACGCAGCTATTGAATTTCTTCCAGCTAAGCCCAGCCTCAACACTGCATCATTTCTCGCAGACTGTGCACAAAACGGGGCTAATTAGGCTGAGTTCACAATCTGCAGAAAAACAAAGTTCTTCTCCCCTTTCCCATATCCCTTTTCTTGCGTGTCACTGCATCCCCTCGATTCTGGGTTTCAATGTGAATCTCTTTTCCGTTCATCTGCATGCATCTTAGAGATGCTCAGAACTGGCTGATGTGGCAGTGTGCGGAGAATCTTGGGGAGGGCAAGAAAGAGAACGGAAAACACACTAAATGGTCTCTGAGGTCATTGTGATAGTGACAAATTGGGAGAAGAAAAAGCTGAGCTGTCCTAAAGACTCAAATACTAAGCATGAACCTTAGGGACAAAGGGCAGTCTCTAAAGATCTGGCAGGGATAGATCTTTAATTATATGTATGTGCTTGTGACTGACAGTAGATTTGACAGTGCTTGGGTGGGCATAACATTTACAGGAGGAAACATTGAAAGTGCTTTTCCTGCTGTTTTTAATAGGTGGTCTCTTCATCCGAAACACAGATCAGGAATACACTGCTTTCCGACTAGCAATTTTTCTTCATAACACCAGCCCCAATGCGTCGGAAGCTCCTTTTAATTTGGTACCTCATGTGGACAACATTGAGACAGCCAACAGTTTTGCTGTAACAAATGCCTGTAAGTAAGACATAAGTTATGGGTAAATTGGAAGACAATGAAAAGGAGTCCCTTTCCAGATTATTATTGTTAGTATTACTATTTTAGAAAGAAATTCAGGATTCCCATAGTTGCCTGGCTCCCAAACAAATCCCAATTAAATCAAGATTTAGTCTCAGGGATACTCTGCCAGTCTCTTTCTCTCCCTCCCTCCTCCACCTCCTTCCTCCCTCCTTCCTCCTTCTTCCTTCTGTCCATCCAGGCTTCCTTTCTTTTTTCTTCACTTCTTGTCTGGATGACTCAAGTTAAATTCTCCTTTAACATTTTAGTGTTGTTCTTAATACCTTAACATGAATTTGATGACAATTGTACTCAATCTAGTTCTGTGCTTTTGGTTTTTCTTAGTTGCTTTTCACTTGAGTAAGCAAATGTCTTGCTTTTAAAGAAGACACCTGCTCCTTTACACTGTTAAAGGCAGGAGAAGATCTGCTGAGAGTGAGACAGTGAGGGGAGTGGTGGTGTGGAGGACATATATTTGAGTCGGTTGGTTGACGCTGCAGATGATCTGGTGATGTCACTTGAGGCTGCCCTGCTCTTATATTCTGGGTTATAAATGTCTCTTACTATCACGTAATGCATATATCCTGTGGATGTAACTTCGTGAATCCTTGCCTGGGTGCCAAATCACGTTAGTCTCCCATCCACCTGAATCCACAGACCAATTCCACAGGGTCTATTATCCCACACAATGAAACTAAATAGGTGACCTCACCTAATGTTATAAGAAACAGTTGTTCAGTACTCCCCCATGAAGACACTGTAGGACTTCAAGGAAAAGATACAACCAACTATGAGTTAATTTAAAGCACTGTACATCATGATGAGTCGATAGCACTTGTATTGACTTTCTTTCTTGAAGGAAGTGCATAGTTCAAATTCCTCTGGAGTTTTGTACATTAATTTATCACTGTTTGAAATTTATATATTAAGGTAGTGATTATAGATTATGTAAGAGACATAGGGTTTTTCTATATAAATTTTTGCATGTTTTCACAGCAATAATAAAATGTTAAGGCTGAGTAATAGAGTTTTATGGCATCAATGTAGATATATTTTATTTTTAAAAAATTCTGCTAGTTCAAGAAAGTATACTGAGCAAAGGAACAACTAAAATTGAAAAACAAAGAGCTTTTAAATGTTTGGAATATATTTATTTCATTAACTTAAATTCATCTTTATTTACCATTAGCTTAACAGATAACAGAATCACTTTTCTTTAATTTTTGGTGTCTTTAACTGTTACTTCATTTTAGAGTTTAGTTTCCTAAGGAGATGGAAGCATTTGGCAGTTTTTCAAAATGTCACAATTATATGGCTTTGCAGAATTACGGTAGATCTTATGTGCACTACTTAATTTGAAAAACTCCACTTGTTTGATGATAAAATTAATATGACATTAAAGCAGAAGATAGTTATTTTGAAACAGAAATGAATATAAATTAGCTAGGTTTGTAGACAATCATTTTGTAATTTTATGTTATTAGCTTTGTAATAAAAGTTTTATAAGATGTGTCATCATTTCAGATACTTTTAAGGAAAACATTCTCCTTAATATAAAAATAATATTTGTTGATTTAAGTATTTTTCTTGTCTTTCCTTACACCCCATAAACACAAATGAGCCTAGCTTTGAAACTAATCCATGATCCAAATATATGTGAAGATACTTAGTCAATAGCAAAATACTTTCAAAATATTGTTATTGTTATTAAATTTTGAAGGATTATTTTAAAGTGACCGATGTTTCAATTTTATTTCATTTTCATTTAAGAAATTAAGATCTTAAATATTCTAAAGTATGTGTTACGATTTCCAGCTATGTAAACTCCAAGGTGTTAATCTTCTCCTCCATATTATTTGTTAACCTTATATGGGATCAGTTGAAATAGTATCATTTTATCTATGTAATAAAATATACTTCAAACAAAGTTAAATTCTATGCTGATTTGAAATAATTCTTTAGTTTCATAATTTTCTCTCTTTGACTTAATTTTCCAAAATACCTGCAAACATGATAAATTTATAGGAAGCTGCATAAAGAATACGAAAGTAGAAAAAGTAGGAAATACATTAGGATTAAGAATATTAAAACAAGTAAATTTTTCATCTGTGCATTTTGAATTCAAGTACAAATAACACAATGTTAGTGATCCAGTAGTTTTCATAATAACAAATAAATTGATTTTTTGTGTTCAAAACTATATTTTTTAAAAACATACAAATAAGGAAAAAACTCTAGTGCAAAGTTGGAAAATAATTTTGACAAATGAGTGTGTTAAGTGTCCTTAGGGCAAATCTAAGCAGAATTTGGGAAAAATCAATAGTCAGAGATTGTGGGTCAGATGATTGGTGTTTGTTGAATGAACTGACCAAGCACATACACAGGCATGAGTTTCCAGTCTAATTAAAAGTGAAATGTAAGCAGTAAGTTTAAGGCAACATCATATATCAAAATCCACATCTTTCAGTAGATTACAAAAAGATAAAAATAGGTATATAATCTTAGTATTTCTGGAGAATTAACATAGAATTTATTCCTCAACAGATAATGACTGGATTTTAACCTTTGTCATGTGGGATTAAGTCTAAAAATAGAACATGTGTGTAGGTAGATTTTTTTGAAATTATGATTTTCCTACACTGGCTCCTTGTAAAACTACAGAGTCTAGTCTGTGAATATGTGCCATTAAGCAGGGTATGGGATTATTTTATGAAATGTATACTTCAAAAAGAAAAAGACAGATGAAATGAAAGTATTTAGTCATCTCGTAGACAGATATAATAATGCTATTTTCCTGCCTCAAAATTACATCAATGCTTTAAGAATACTTTAGGCAATCTAAACTATTCTATGTGTAGACTTTATGTATTGATAGATCTAAACCCCATTAACTCAAACTTAGAATTTTTGGGTTAAATTTCAAATTCCTGGCAGGAGGGAATAATGTCATCTTATAATTTTGTTTTCAATAAGATTTGTATGACATTAACTTAAAATGTTGTTTTTATTTTTTTTAACAGTCACCTTGTTGGAAAATTACACTTTGCTGAATATTAAGCTAAAATTATAGAAATACAGGTAATATAAAGCCATAACTTATTTCAATAATGAAAACAAAATAGATGTAAATAGTAGTATTTGTAGTCAGATTTTAAAATGTAGTATGGAGGATGACATAATGGATGCTTTAAAAATAAATTCAATATGAGCAATTTTTTTTAACTAAAATATCATACAGTTGTCTTTCTGGTGGATACCAAAATAGATACTTATACAAAGAAACTTGCCAGTTAAATTGGATATGTCCTTTGGAGAGCATTGGAGGCAACCTACCAGTAGGCTCTTTTATATTTTTCCAGTAGACATATTTTGGTTTGAAGGATGATGTCTGTCAAATTTTACCAAAAGTAATAACCAAAATGTTAAATAAGTTTACCATCAAATTTTCAAGAAGTTAAATTGATTGGACACATCTTGATTATCAATTTTCTCCAGCATAAATCCTATAAAAGAGGCAGTCTTTTAATTAGGCCATCTCTATACAATGCAATCCACAAATATTCAGTTTCAGAAAAGACCGTTTTGAATTTCAGATGGACAATCAAAATTGTATAATGAAACAAATCAAGAGCCCATGCATGCCACTTGGTGAAATAATAAAATAACTATAGAATATTTCCAACTTTCAAAACTCAGATAGGAAGAATCAGTTAGTGAGTATTTTTTCCTTTCTTTTCTTTTTTAATTATGTGTTTGTCTTGATCTCCTGTTCCGTCTAAAATCTTTCTATCCAATTGTCTAAAAGATGATATATTGAGAAGACATAATAATCACAAATAGAATGGATACTGTACCCTAGTGATGATGAAAATGCCTTTTAAAGTTAGGTATTAGTTGTTTGTGGCTGATTTACTTGTCAAATATAAATATCTGTGATAAATGGTACAAGATAAATCTCTAGTGGTTTGACCTGCAGAGTTGTTAGTAATGATATTGTTGAATTAAATACTGTTTGACTTTTTGCTTATTTTTAGGAAAATGAAGGATGGAACTCTACTGTCACTCTCATTAAGTTTCCTTATTTTGAATTTATTAAGATTCTCTGCTGATTTGAAAAAATTCTTTAGTTTCATAATTTTCTCTTTTCCTTAATTTTCCATTCTAAAATTAATGCCAAAGAAATAACCTATATTTCTATGATGTGATCCTTTCATAAATGATAAAATGAAGTGTAATTTTCATTGATGTATTTCAGAGTTGTCAAAGGATTAAGCTTTCACAAAACTGTCAGAACAATTTCTTAATTTCTTTTCAATGGAGTTCTTCTAAGTGTTGTTTATTTCCCAAAGAGAAAGCATTTTACTCCCAGTCATTGTAGATATATACGTGTCCATGTATGTGTGCGTGTGTGTGTGTGCTTACATAGTAATTTTATTGTTCTGAATTTCAAAATGAAGAATAAATACAATACACCTTACATTATACAAAAACATAGCATTTTAAAGCTACTTTCATATATTTGACTTTGTTTGACCTCCAGCTAATCTCACAGTGAGACAGTCTGATAAGACAGTCATTATTTTGTAGTTAAGCCAGCTTTGGCTCAAAGGAGTTATTTGACTTGCCAAAGACTATATAGTAATTGACTGCAAAGCCAGACTCTGAACCAAATCTTCTAACTACTATCCTAGCACTTTTACCAGGAGGCATAGAATTAGAAAAATATAATATATAGAAAAATATAATATCTCCATGGAGATTATTTGAATTGAAAAAAAAAGAATTGCCATTTGTCTTTAATTTAATTGCAACACTGAAGAAAATAGGACAAGACAGTTCTGGGCAACTTATTCATCAATCACATGGTGGTGAGTGATATAACAAAGGCTGAAGTCATATTACGTAGTGATGCTATTTATTCGTTAGATTAGATAATGAGTATATTCATTTATTCATTAAAC